AACAGCCCTCGGTTATTCAACTCGTATTTTGTAATTGTGAGATAACCCTGTAGCAATAAAATGTATTATGTTAATTTAAATGTATTATATTAATGTATTATATTAATGTATTATATCAACGTATTATATCAATTATAATAATACTTGAAAAGTAATATACATAAAATATTGCAAATAATATACGTAGTAGTTCTAGTTCATTCCTCTATTGTTTTTCCTCTATTGTTTCAATTTTACTCGTGACTTTAAATATTATATAATAGAAAAAGTTTTTTTACTTTAATTCAGTAATAAATAATTAAGGGAAATGAGATTAAAAATGTTTCTCTCGGGAAATGAGAAAATTAAATTCTGATTGAAATCGATTTAGGTGCAACAATAGCGTCATTCAAACTTAAACGTAGTCATAGACGATTAAGGATGATGATCGAATTGTGCGTACTGGCGTATCAATCCCTTTTGCTATTAATCCGCAAAGCTTCATTACGGCTTCAGTGACCTGAATTCCTAGACAGCGCGATCGCAATTGAACATGCACCGGCGAGTGATTAACTAACGTGTCGGTTCCACGATGTCACCAGCTCGGTCGGCCTGACGATATTTGCTATTTATTTCCGGCCAGACCTTGATGGCGTTTAATTGTACGATGTCTGCCATAGTCCGCGAGTGGCGCGTCAAGGAATGAGCTATCAAAGTTGGAAGCGGTCTACCGCTGCGAGATGGAGAGACCTTTGACATTCCGGCGCGGAGCTGGCACATTACAGTTCCCTGTATCGGGGAGCAACGTACCGTATCACAGGTTCCATTACTGAAACAGTTTAGATCACGCAGTCGACATTTGCAAAAGCTGATCCACAGCTGACAGGCTTTGCTCGGCTGGCTTGATGACCGATACCAGCAAGGATGCGGTTTCACATAATAAACGCGAAATATTGCAGAGAAATTATAACTGACAATGTCTAAACTATACAAAGATTGTTGTCTGCAAAAAGAGTTTGTTATGTTTATTTAAATTTTTAAGATTATAACATTTTAAAATAATCGTCATAACAATATTGATATGATTTTATGTCGAAAATAATTCACTTATAAATAGAAATTTCAATTTTCGTGAAATCGCATTCTTTACTTGTAGATTTGTTTAAATCTTGTAAATATATTTAAGCATCATAGACATTAAAAAATAATTCTTATCATAGCTAAATAATTTTGCATTAAAGTAAGCAAAGGATAAATTGCTTTCAAGATTCATCGATAAATTCTAGTGTCTTCTGAATTTCTTTCAGGAAAGTTTGTTAATTACAAGCTCGCGCGAATCGTGTTTCGACACTTGACTCGCTGACGAGTTTGCATCGCGCTTAATATAAATGGAAAACCGAAGAAGTTTGTATGCTCTCGATGCGCCGTCGTGATGCATAATTCATAATGATGCTGAACGGTCGTAGTTGACATTTCTTCTTGAACAAACTTAATCGAAAGGTTTAGTGGAAAACAATTTTCAATAGATTGATGATATGTTATATAAATATATATATAAACAACACACACACACACACACACACACACACACACACACACAAAACATATATAATAATATATAATAATAATAATATTTATCCAATTAATTTTTAGTACTTATTTCGCGATTTATTATGTGCTATATTTTTATATTTTTTAATTAAAATTCAGTATATAATAGTATATAGTAGTTTAAATATTTATTTTAGAAGATTTTTTAGAATATTAGAAAAATACATCAGGCAATCCTATTTTGAGAATATTTTCAGATAATTTCATATTTTATCTGTATCTTAATTCGTCCGGGAAACGTCGCGATAATATGTTCTCACGTGCATGCGAGCATGTTTAAATCGTTTCAATCGACTATTAATTAGTAATAACTTTCATAAACGAGAGAGGCAATTAATTCACCTCTAGAGTTCTCATTTGTTCGCATGAAAAACCAATTTTACAAATCGATTTTACATTTCGTGCCAAACAACACATAAAAGCGGTTACCCAACAATTTTCGATCCAAGCCAGGCATTTTATTTTGTCGCTTTAAACAATTTCACAGATAATGTCTTGTTACCACGTTTCATAAGATATCGTCACGTAAAAAAAAAAATTTTAAGTGTTTAAGACTTTTGGGCGGTATCTCATAAATGACACGTCAAAATTTATTTTTCACAGACGCAGAGATAAAACAAGATGATATAGATTCTCTTCTTTGTCAAATGCTCCCGCGACTTTATTTTCGACGGTATCGCTTATTGAGCAGGGTCCAGAGAAATGCGGAATAGAATGCTGACGTGGTGCTTGCAAGCGGCTTTTTCGACGCTAGTGCATTTCGCTGTATTTCACTTGGACGTTAACGATTTCCCAACGAAAACAAGATAATCCTGGCTTTGCGATAAACATCTTAACTTTCTTGACTAATTAAACTGTTTTCGGCGGTACATATTACAGCAATTTCACTATTTCA